GGCTCATTTAATTACAAATACTAAAAGTGTCTCTACCCGAGTGTCGAACTGCACTGATTTACGCTGTATATCGGAGAAACTTGCTAAAGCACTTGCTACTACAGTTAGGGATTGTTACAATATGATTCACTTCATTGCGCATATGTCTTTTCTATAAAGCATATCAAAACGACATGCACATTCATCCACATTGAATAATAAATTAGCATATCTTCTGCCAGTCACCCAAGAGTAAACCGTCACCAGTCATAGCATACAAGGAAACGTTAGACATTAAGACGACTAAGGGCATATATGCTTCAGTTTCAACGTCAGTATTGTATTACATGGATTGTTAGAGAGATTATCCATTATTGCATGACACCTGCGAAAAGTGGGAATGTGCAAAATCTATTTAAGCGAACACGTCTGCCCATTTTTTTTTTAAATTTGGACTGTCGAAAAATTTAATACACATTCAGTTTAACTTGAAAGTTGAACTTTAAAGAATCAAATAGACGATGTGGTTGGCTCGTTGTACACGCTTGCGTTTTAGTTACGCATAGGGTGTACAGGAATATCACGCAAGTAGATACATTTCCAGATGAAAATGGCCAGAATTTCTAATCTCAATGGTTAGCAAACAAGGGGTTTGTGGTTTAAATAAATCATACAAATGTAGGGAAGCATTGAATACTGATGAGTCACGCACATGTGTGAGCTTTGACACGAGTATTACCTAATTATCCTAAGTTACTATGACAGCACGTGGTACCGATCAACCAATGAGAATGCAGCCTTCCTATAACGGCCAGCGTACGGTGTTTTAATAGTGCATAATAGAAAAAATAAATAGGATTTAATGGCTCATCAACCTTTGTCAAAGTTGAGTAATGATTTGTTTTCAAAAACGCACTAAAAACTAATTAATTGTAAAATATATCATCGCAAATGAGAATCGGCCCAGTTAAGCGTCGCGGTGTTGCTCTAAAAAAAACACAGTAATTTCTAAGTAAATTAGATTGTTAAACATCGTGATCGTAAACCACTCTAACACTTTACGCCGGCGTTTTTTTTAAATTGACAGTGTTCTAGGCAGTTGGTTGAGAAATATGCAACGAAGCGATGTTTTGCCGCAGATTAAAATAATCATGTCATAGCAAATTACCTTAATCAACTTAAACGAAAGAAGAATAAATAAGAAAGATACCGTAAAGTAGCTGTGTCTAATTGTTTTTCATCTTGTACTAATCCTGTAATTAAACTATTAGCTGAAAATTAGAGGAACGTTGTCGTTATGAACTTTTTTCATGTCCACCACCATCTTGCGAATATCACCTACTTGTTCTATACTCTCGTAATACCAAGCGGTTGTCAACCAAGACATCGTTCTAAGAACGCGAAAGCCATGAAAGTTGTTTGACCCTTCAAATGGTGCTCAATTCACCCTACCTCACGTTCACTGCTCTCTTGAGCTATGTAACTATGAAAACGTGATGACGGAAGAGAAGTGAACACTATTGGAGATGTATAAATTCTTGTGGCTATCTCATTTTCATCGACATCTCGATAGTCATTTTTATCAATGTTTTTTTTTTTCATCTATGAAGGACATTCTGGAAAATGACTCCATCAAGCTGGACTGGATGTTCCGATACTCACTTGCCTACGATATTGTTAAAGGCATGCATTACATACACAGTAGTGTCATCAATTCCCATGGCAACCTGAAATCAACCAACTGTGTTGTTGACAGTAGGTTTGTGTTGAAGGTTACGGACTTTGGATTAAATCAATTTAAAAAGGGCGATGAAGACACGGATCTCGAGTTTGAATCTCATCAGTACTTTCAGCGTAGGTTCAATCATTTAATCAAACTCATTCCTATTAAACGTGGCAATACTGAGCACATAATGTAAGTCGCGCCCTCTAGCGACAAAAGACTTCTATGGCGTAAATAGTTGCTAAGAACCCGTTCAATTCGTCTCTGTGCATTTTTCAATTAACATGCCATTTTGTTAGTAGCTTACTGTATTTTAAATGACGCACGATGGCACACGATATTGCAAACAGATATCTGCGTCATTTAACGTCACTGAATCGTTTTGTCGCTAGCGGGCGCAACTTATTTACAAGAACGATACAGTATATTGAAAGGCGGCGACCGTCACCCCACGCATATGGAAGATTTGCCATGATAAACAACTTGGTATTTGTACAACCCACCGACCGCGTTCTACCGTGTTGTTGCGGCAAGTACATTCGACATTCGATCTGGGCGAGCTGGTTTTATAATAATTGAAAACACTTGTACACTCTACGCAACACGATGCGTCATTTCTGTGGTTTGCTGGAAAACACAAAAAAGCCGTATATTTGGACCAATAACAAGATAGTTGTTTACCATTCATGTCAATAGGGTTATTATGGACGGCACCGGAGTTACTCCGAATGACAGAGGCACCACTTGGTGGAACGCAGAAAGGAGATGTTTATAGTTTTGGAATTATATTACAAGAAGTGGTTCATCGATGCGGTCCATTCTACGTATCTCACATGGATCTATCACCGAAAGGTAAGTTTATATGAATTGTGCATGCTGTGTACATCGATTAGAAGTGAATAACAGTACGATGGTTTAATAGTTATTATATCACTGCCACAGTTGGAGCAGTATACCACATATGGTAAAAAGTTAAAAGACAATTATGTTTTTATATAAACTGACTATGCACAAAAAGAAATCAAAGTAATTTGGTGTAATATGTATACCATTTGCTAGCACATAACAACCAAAACACCAAGCTTTTAGTCATATATGTGACGGTATATAACGTCTATAGCTCGTAACATTTGGTCCATTGCCATACATCATTTGATGTCTGCCTTTGAAATCAAGCTCTTCTAGAATTATACAAATGTACACCGAATTACCATGGCTATTCGGGGTTTCATCAATCATAGTCAAGATTATCGTCTATCTATCGCCCTTGAACCGCGGCGTTGTAAGGGTAAAGCAAGAGACTGCTTGAACTCACTGCACTCTACGTGTTCTATTTCACCCAGAGTAATACAACTCTGTGTACAGTCAGTGTTTAAGTAATGAAATTTACATGTGTCGACAACGGTGGTAATCCAAGTGTTGACTGACAATTAAAATAGCCATTATAATTGTTCTTTGTATCAGGGTAATACATATTGTTTTAAGGAAATATTAGTTACTTATTGTTTTAAGGAGATATACCATTTTATGTGTGCTTAGTTTAACGTAATTCTACCGACTGCATGATTATCGTACACGTATCTACGCCTGTTATACGTCACATTGTTATTAAGTCGCTAGAGGGCGCAATATAAGAACTTTTTTTTTCAATACGGTAATACTTAGGGTTGCGTGGCGATCGACGGAATTAGAATGGGAGTTCCGACTATACTGACCGGTTTGTTAATGATTTAACATTAAAAATGAAAATATGAGGAAATATAATATTTATTCATATTCTATGACACGTTTCATTATTGTCTTCAATTTTTCAGAAATTGTACAGAAAGTAAAATCTGGAAATAGACCGTATTTCAGACCAAGTGTAGATAAATCCACGTGTCCGGAAGAACTTTATCCAGTGATGGAGAAATGCTGGGCACAGGACCCGGCTGAGAGACCAGACTTCAGTTCACTCAGAACAACGATGAGGAAACTAAACAAGTACGTCTTTTTAAGTAGATTGTTACTTCTGCGATTGGCACGTTGAATACGCGATATGAATATACATTGCAACATATATCGGCAGTTATGCATAGAATTACCGAACGGTGTTGTGGATGGAGGAATGTCCGAACGGAACAACACCGTGCAGGCGGACGATGGCGCGTTCATGAATTTTACTAGTATATACTGTAAAACATGTCCTGTTCGCGAGCATGTC